GACCCCACCTTGGGTTTCCAAGGCAGTATCACTACGGAAGTAGGATTGCCCAACCTTCCTTCCGAGGAGTGGCTGGTGGGTTTGAACCGCCAGCCTTCTAGTTAGCAGTCAAGTGCTTTAGCCACTATGCTACCAGAGCTCCTATCTACAGCTAGTTCTTCTTTATTCTTCTTCAGAAATTTTTGGGTATTCTTTCTGGTTTATTTTTCTATCTGAATTTTAGAATCAGTTTGTGTTCCAAAAGATAAAATTCCTATTACTATATTTATTGACAATACCAAAAATTTGTGGGTTAATTTAGGAAGAATCGCTGAGTCTTCCTATCCAATAAAATGATATTTTTTCCCACTTAATTCAAGCTCTCTTTTGTGGCCTTGAAAGAACTTTTTCATATTTTTTTAAGATAGATCTTGTTCTTCTCTTGTTAAGATTACTTCTAGATATTTATTTTCTTCATACTATTATAAATTTTGTCTTGTCTGCTCTTAGATCTTCTAGCTTGTTGTTGTTTATGTGAGTTTTATCATTGTTTTCCTTTAAAATCCGAGATTTTATTGAGAATGTGTTCAACTTACATTTGATAAGAATTGATATCTTTGTCATTTTCAATACTTCCATCTAGAAAGGTACATTTTAAATTTTTTGTTTTTCATTATTTGTTTTATTTTCTAGTAGTAAAATTTTATGTTTTAATGCATATAAATCACAGATTTCTTGTTATGGTTATTCCTAGATTTTTATGTGTTTAATTGCTATTATGGATTGGATCACTTTTCCACTTTATCTTTTTTATCAATTATAGCTGGTATACATGAAGATTAATGATTTGGGGAGTATTTGTTGATACCTACCCACTTGAAATTCTTTAAAATTCTAAGAACATTTCAGTTGATTCTTGGTTTTACAGGGTGTATGTGCATATCATGTGTAAATAATAGACGTATTATTTCTTCCTTCTCAGTATGTATCACTTCCTCACTGCTCCTCCCCTCACTCCAATCTCTTACTGCTTGGCCAGAACTTTTAGAAAAAAGATAAATAATAGTAGTTGTAATGAGTATCCTTTTTTAGTCCTTGATATTTATGGAAATATTAACTTGTTTTATTTTCACGGTTTCATCTTAACTGAGCTATAGTTTTCTCTTGACAGAGTTTAAACGAACTCCAATTTTTTTTTTAAATTGTGATTTGGATGAAGATTTACAGAGCAAATTCACTTTCCATACAGCAGTTTACATATACTTTGTCTCATGACATCGACCACAGTTTACCACAATGCAACAGCTCCCTTCCCACTTCCTCCCCATAGTTACCACTTCCCTGTGTCCATCCCTCCATGGACTCCTGCCCCGAGCTGTCTCCCTGTGCATAAGCAACCCTTCTTTCTCCCATGATTGTTCTCTCCAAGGAGAGTATCTACTTGAGGTAAATGTTCAACTCATGTGCCTATCTTTTGTTTGGCTGGAAACTACAGGTGTGTGTTCAATTCCAGAGACCTGAAGGGCAGCTAGGCCATAGTCTCAGTGGTTTCACCAGGCTCTATCGGATCAGCAAACCTGGTCCCCCCCCCCTTTTTTTTCCTCCAAATGATTTTGAGTTTTGTTCCACATTGTTCTCCCTCCCTATCAAGAATCTCCTACATAGATCCCCTTCCAAGTGGATGCCAGTGATAGCCAGGCACCATCTAGTTCTTCTGGTCTCATAATCATATAGGCTGCAGATTGGATGGGGTACCAGTTGCTAGGACTAATTGTTTCCATGAAATTTGGTTTTCTTCATTCTTCTTTGCTCTGGATGAGGAGAGACCCATCGTTGCATTTAGATGGCAGCTTGCAAGCTTTTAAGATCCCAGTCGCTACTCGCCAAAGTAGGAGCTGCTTCTTATTGCTATTGTTATGTGCCGTCAAGTCTGACCCAACTCATAGTGACCCCTCCTTGGGTTTCCTAAGAGGTATCACTGCAGAAGTAGATTGCCTAACCTTCCTTCCGAGGAGTGGCTGTTTAGCAGTCAAGTGCCTTAGGCACTACGCCACCAGAGCTGCCTAACCTTCCTTCCGAGGAGTGGCTGTTTAGCAGTCAAGTGCCTTAGGCACTACGCCACCAGAGCTCCTTAGCTTTTTAAAAAAATTAGAATATAATTGATTGTATTACACAGCTACAACAAGCATAATTCAACTTTTAAAAAAATTCAGAAGTCACTTCAGAATCTTATTGTACCTCATGGTTTTCCTAGACATCACTTATTACTTATTATGGTAAAGTATGGAAGTATTAGTTTATAATAGAGTTCTAATTATTTGAATGCTAAATAACAAAAAGTGCTATGATCATTTAAAACAGATTCTGCTGTATTTCCCTTTGGGTATATTTAAGATTACATATATGTGTATGTGTGTGTGTATTTTATCTAATTATAAGGTATTAAATTATTGTGCATTCAGGAATATTGAGAAAAAGACTCAACCCCTATATGCTCAATAAGTATTTGTTTTGTGATGTGGCTAAGAAAACCAAAAATATTTATATGGGCCCTTGCATTACTTAGAAGCACAAAAGAAGTTGACATTTAACATTTTTACCCAATAAGACATATCTGATCAGCCTACCCCACTGCCATCGAATGGATTCTGACTCACAGTGACCCTGTAGGACAGAGTAGAACTGCCCCACAGGGTTTCTAAGGCTGTAAATCTTTACCAAAGGAGACTGTCTCGTCCTCCCTTGTAGCAGCTTGTTGGTTCAAACTGCTGACCTTTTGGTTAGCAGCCTAATGCTTTGACCACTGTGCCACCAAAGCTCCTTATCTTATCAAAGAACAGTTAAATTACTATATATATTGCCTGGAAAAAATTTCTTATATGTAAAGTAAGCCCAAATGTATATATAAATGTAACTGTTTGTATGTTTCATTACACAGCACAGAAAAGCATTGTAAAAGGACTCCGGTTGTAGAAAAGCAGATGTACTTCCCTCTTCAGAATTATCCAGTGAACAACATGGTAACAGGTAGTTTGAAATAAAATTTAGAATAAACCCAGATAGGGAAGAAACAAGGGAATATGTTGCATAATAAAATTATTGTTATACTTCAAATGCCTAGGAAGTAGGGGCCCCTCTGTTATACATAGTAATGGAGCAGATTCCATTCACATAGTAAATGAATTAAACTACAAAATTGACCAATAACAAGGCCCTCTTTTCTGTGCTAAAATAGTGGTTTATAGGTAGAGTCAACTGTCCCTGTTTGCCTGAGTTGGTGCCAGTTTATGCCTATTATCCTGGCGTCAATTTTACTCTGCAGTACCCCATCATAGTCTCCTTTGAGAATTTCATGAAACATAGCCCTGTCTCTAGCATACACACATATTGTGCACAAACTTTGCCTATAATTTTAAAGGCTCACAGATGTCCAGGAGCCCATTCATGGATCACTCAAGTGTCCAGGGACTTTATGGTTGGGTTTCCCACCTTGGTCCCCTTCACAAAGAGAAGACAACTGACTAATGTTGAGGGGCTAGAATCAAGGAAACCAGTTGAAAAGTTGCCACTGGGATTTGGATAGTGCTGAGTGGATACTTCGATCTGGGTAGTTCAGTGGGGTCGTTGGTAACAGTTAAAAAAGTGTGGGTTGAATTTTTTTTTTAATAGAGCAATTTTATAAGTATAGGTTTTTGAAATATCATTAAAAAATTGTGTATATATTTATCATTTTTTTCTCTTCATTTAGTAGTGTCAACACTACCTTTTGCAACTAGTCTACAAATTCCTAGGCATCTTCTTTGATATCATTATCTCTTCTAATCATTTCTTCTAGCCATTTTTCCATTTTTTACTTATTGTTCATTTGAGTAGTAGAAAACAGCTTTTAGAAAAGCACTTTATAAAGAACTTTTAGTGTGTAGTTTTGGGCTGAGTCTTGGAGAAATCAAAGAAAACTGCTATCCAGCCATGATAGGGAAAAAAAAAAAAAAAAAAAAATCAGTCCTGGGGCTTTCAGTAGCAATTCTGGACTGCAAAGGATCATGAACTGAGTAAAAGTACTTAAATCCTTAGATTGGAACTGGATGATTGGTGCCCCAATTCTTGCTAGACTAAAATCTGTAGGCCTAAATATTGAGATAACCATTCAGATAAACCATTCAGATAACCTTAAACCATGGTTGGGGGATATTACTAGTATTAGTAGTTGTGTTGTTCAGCAGCCTGCCATACTCTGCTGCTCTTGGGACTTTCAATGGACTTAAGTTAATGGCCTGCTGTGTAGTTTGGTAACATCGGGACTGTGCCATTTTATTTGTTGACCTTGGGCTTGTCAACCTCAGCAGCCAGTAGCTGCCTGAGAGAAGAAGATGCCTCTAGCTTCAGTGGGCCAGGAGCAAGAGGCAGAGCTGAAGCCCAAGGTCAAGGGGCTTTCACCCAGCCCCTAGAGCTGGCACTTTGAACTTGGACTTCTAGCCTCCCAAACTGTAAGAGAATAAACTCCTGTTTGTTCAAGCCATCCCATTTGTGGTATATTCTTGTCAGAGAGGCACTGGGTAACCAGAACACCCCCAATTTGTGAAAATGAAATAAAAGTCCAGACATTGCCAAGTGTCCCCCAAAATATCAAAGGGTTTGCTTTGTATGTTTTTTTTTTTGCTTTTGACTGGAATTAAATCCTATTAATATGATGTCACTGGTTATCACCATGATAAGAAGTTCTGATAGACAGTTACATGTGTGATTAATTAAAGTAAGAAACAATTAGTAATAATTGTAAATATCTTGCAGGCAAAAATTTTCAAACCAAAGGATTCTGATAATTAAAAGTTTAGAAACCTATGTTGTTATGTGCCATCTCATAGCGTTATGACCCAACTCATAGCGACCCCTCCTTGGGTTTCCCCTCTTTAGGTTTCTGAGGCAGTATCACTATGGAAGTAGATTGCCCAACCTTCCTTCCGAGGAGTGGCTGGTGGGTTTGAACTTCCAGCCTTCTGGTTAGCAGTCAAGTGCCTTAGGCACTATGCTACCAGAGCGCCTTAGAAACCTATAGTAAGTACTATATTAGTTACTACTGCCATGTAACAAATTGCTCCAAAATGTAGCAACTTAAACAACAAACGTTTATTTTTTCATAGTTTCTGAGTTAGGTATCCAGGAACATCTTAGCTGGGTAGTTCTGCCTCAGAGTCTCATGAGGTTGGTGGTCAAGTTGTCATCTAGGGCCGTAGTCATTTCAAGGCAAAACCAGGGCTGAGAAATAACACTTTAGAGCTTATTCATGTAGTTTTGGGCAGGCCTTGGCTCCTTGTTGGTGTTTGGCAAAGGCTTTAACTCCTCATAAAGGGCCTCTTCATAAGGGCTGCTCACAATATGGTAGTTTGCTTTCCCAAGAATGAGAAATCCCAGGGAGATGGTATGTGCCCAAGACAGAAGCCACAATCTTTTTTATATCCTAATCTCTAGTGACATGCCATCATATAGAACAACCCAAGCACAGTGTGAGAGGGCTACACAAGTGAATACCAGGAGGCAAGGAACATTCAGGGCTCTCTGGGAGGCTATCACAGACACCTGTGGGATTGTCTGCCATGAATGCCTTTCCTAAGGAACTCTTCTTTCTTCTTTCCAATTCATCTGGATAATATAAGAACGGTCATTTTATAAAACATGACATTGCCCTTGCCCCTGCCCTTTATAACAGTTGTTTTGGGAGTGAATACATGATTTGAGCTGGGCCATTCACAGTTCTTTCTCTGGATTTTTAGACATGGAACCAGCAAATCTGGTCATTTTTGTTCAACTGCTAGAACTCTAAGATATAAAACTTAGGAACTATCAGTGGCCATGTTTTCTTCCATGTAAAGAAAGCCAACTTGCCTCAAGAGAGGAAAATAAAGCTAACATGTAGAGAGAGAGAGAGAAAAAGAGGGACTAGTGAGAGAGAGAGAGAGAGAGAGAAAAAAAAAGACACTAGTGAGAGAGCCATGATAGCTGGTTCCAGTTACTCTTGAGGCCCAGCAGTATGCCTGCTTTCCCCATAGTGTGGTTGACATGTAAATGTCCAGTAAATTCCCCTTTTGTTTAAGTTAGTTAAATTAGGTTTCAATTTCAAGCTAAAGTCATACCTGTTTCAAACTGCTACTATAACCCATTTCTGATGCTATAAATGTCCTATCCTTATACTTACAGTAATATTCTTATACATGTACTAGTTAATATTGAAGTTGTCAAGGATTTTATTTTACTTAGATCCACAATCAACACAGTGAAGAAATCAAATGATGTATTGCACTGGGCAAATTTGCTGCAAAACACCTCTTTAAAATCTTAAAAAGCAAAGATGTCACTTTGATGACTAAAATGTGCCTGACCCAAGCTATGGTCTTTTCAGTTGCCTCATATGCATGAGAAAATTGGACAATGAAAAAGGAAAACATAAGAAAAATTGACACATTTGAATAATGGAGTTGGTGAAGAATATTGAATATACCATGGACTGCCAGAATCATGAACAGCTCTGTCTTGGAAGAAGTACAGCCAGAATTCTCCTTAGAAGCAAGAATGGCATTACTTTGGTCATGTTATCAGGAGTGACCAATCTCTGGAGAAGGACATCATGCTTGGCAAAGCCGAGCATCAGTGGAAAACAAGAAGACCCTTAATAAGATGGATTGACACAGTGGCTGCCACATGGGCTCAAACATATTTACCATTGTGAGGATGGCACAGGACCAAGCAACGTTTCATTGTGTTGTACACAGGGTTGCTGTGAGCCAGAACTGACTCGATAGTACTTAACAACAACAACAGTAGTTATTTTTATTCATCTCTTCACATATGACTTTAGAAACTTCACACAGTGTATATGTACAATTAACATTACTATTTTTGTGCACCAGGAGCTCTGGTAGCATAGTGCCTAAGGCACTTGACTGCTAACCAGAAGGCTGGCAGTTCAAACCCACCAGCCACTCCTCGGAAGGAAGGTTGG